ACCTGGCTTTGCTCAAGAGGGGTATATAGCCAGTGTTAGTTAAGCTATGTGAAGCAGGTTTGGATGGCAGTAGGTTTCATTTCTGAAATGCTACCAGAAATGATAATGTGGTATACACTGATCTGAAGATGTCATTTTCTCATAAAGCAGATCTCACCATTCTTCCAATGAATACTTCCCAGTCCATGCTCATTTTGCAGGCACTCTTAGAAATAGTTCATAGCAAGGATTTCCATTTCTACATCTAGAAAATCTAAGTCTATTTAATAATCACTGCAACATAAACTTTCCAATGCATCACCCAGACCTCTGAAAACCATTAGGATCCTGTATTTGGATGGAAAATACATGGATCTGCAACTCTGAGGCTTCATCTCACAGCAAATTGGCAAAGATAAAGAAAAAATGGAAATAGTCATTGTTGGAGGGGCTGTGAGAATACAGGCACATTGTTATAGTTATGCATTTGTCCAATCATTATGGAAGTATGCTAGAAGAGTAGCTAATCTCTCTCTCTCTCTCTCTCTTTCTCTCTCTCCTCCCCTTCTTTATTACACACACACACACACACACACACAAAGCTTTGACCCAGTAATATCACTGCTGGGCATTTATCAACTTCTCAAGCATTTATCAAGCAGCTCAGACAGAGGGAACAGTTCCATGTACACCAAAATATTTGCAGTGACATTGTGTGTGTGTGTGTGTGTGTGTGTGTGTGTGTGTGTGTGCACATGCACGTGTCTGGTAGTGGTAGCAAAAAACCTGGTATCTGTTGACTGGAGAGTGCCTGAATACATTATGGCATATGAATATAGTGCTGTATTATCTTATTATTGCCATAAGAAATGATGGTTACTAAAAATCCAGAGAAACTTAGTAAGAATTATATGAATTAATGGTAAGTGAAGTAATACACAAGAGAATAATATACACAGGGGCACAACACACAGTGATGCAAAGGAAATAACACTAGCAGACATGAGAACTCAGATGAAAACAATGAACCATATTGATTTCAGAGGACTGAGGATGCAAAGTATCTCCCTTCTCTCAGCAAAGAGGTGGCAAACTACAGTTGTGGAATGAAGCATATGCTGTTAGACATAGCCAAAGTGTCAGCTTATGGGTAGACTTCTTGGCTACCAGGGAGAGACTATATTAAAGGGGAGGGACAATATTAAAAATGTCAATAACATTTTAAAAAATAAAAAAAATGAAAAAAAAAACAAATGTCCATATTTTCAAAAAGTTCCTGTTCACTTATAAACAAAGGTCTTAACAGGGCCCTGGTGTGTAATCTTTTGTATTATTAGGAACAAAGGGAAAGATTGGTGAGCTGGGAAGCAGAGAACATGAAAATCTTAGAAGAGGAAAAAATCTGCATTGTTCCTGGCAACCAGAAGAGTCTCAATGATGAGTGACTGTAAATTGAGCTTCTCCCCAGATAACCAATTCTCTTGAAGGCAGTGGGAATAGCAATGGAATTTGGGACCCCTGAGAGAATGTTAACAGCTCTTAGGGGAATTTCTCAACTCCAGCTGTTCCATTTTCTAGAACCTTGTTCCTGTCAGGGATCATTAGAAGACCTTTTCTAACTCAGGGTTATCATTCTCTCTCCACCCACATACATGCTGAGCACACGGAAGTCCAGGCACATTCACAAACCCTCCTGAGATTGCATGTGCGCGCGCACACACACAAACACACAAACACACACACACACACACACACACACACACAGCTTGACTCAAGGTTAAATGGAGCCCTTCTTAGCATGGGAGAAAGGGGCTGGCAGTGACACACAGAGGCAGTGGCTCAATTTTCCAGTTATGGTCCCCTTTGGATTCATTTGAGAAGGATGAGTGTCTGAACACCTGGCAGAGACAGACTCGCCTGCCCCACACTGGGGTTTAAGCGCATGGCATATTTCATGAAACTAATCTGAACTAATATGTGGTTTCAGTTACACCCAGAGCTTTCCTGGGTAAAGAATAAAATTATGTTTCTCATTTAGAGTGCAAGGGCCCCAACTGGACCCAGAAGCAGCTGAGCCAGCAGACGCTCCCATTTCTGTGCCATTCACAATAATGTAATACTTCAGCCACCCCATAATAGTGCACAGAGGGATATAGGGTACAGGATGTGGCTGTTTACGGAGCTCCTACCTTGTAAGGATGAGAAGCGGTAGGTCAGTGAAAACCCTACAGCAAGTTATCATGAGGATCTGGAAGGGGAAGAGGGTACTCAAGGGACTGATTAAATGGACAGCAGCTGGACAGGGCCTGGGGCTGAAATGACCCTTGAGTAGCATTGCAAGCCCTCCCCCTCCCCCCTCAACACTCAAGCAGACCCTGCTGTGGTTGATTATAATGCTGTTGCTCTGTCTCTCAGGACCCACAATGGTTTCACCTCCAAAGCATCCCCAGCCTCTGATGACTGCATGCTAGGCAACTCTACTGCTGTGATGGGGAGTGGGGAAGGCTAGCGGCTTTCAGCTTGAGGTACTTAATTGGGACTTTTAGACAACCATCAAAGATTTATTCAGCATAAGGCTTCAGTATACTCAGAAATCAAATAGTCAGTGTAACCCGGATTATGATACATACATGTCTGTATATAAAGATATAACATTGATTTATGTTTATTCATATTATGCACAATTAACACTTCTTTCTGAGACACAATGGCACAGGGGAGTCCCATTTCTGGGCTTCTTCTGTCCCATTTCCCTTGTATAGAATACCTATCTTCCTCCTCGCCTTGTCAAACCTCCACCTTGAGGCCCTCTCTCTACATTGGTGGCTCTCTCTTAGGGAGCCACCATTTTAGCCAGCCATGTTTTCTCTCGTTCTTGCTTTGACTCACACGGGATTTTCCTTCTTTTTTTCCTCACCTGCCACATCGTCACCCTAAGGAATCTCTGCTCTTCCTACCCCTCTCCAACCATCTCCTCTTAAAAAGTGTTTGCTAATTTGAATTCAATTGAACAGAGGGAAAATTACACAGTGTTTTGATCCTTTTGTCATTAAAAACACCGAGAAAAAAGAAATGAAGCATTTCTTCTCCCACACCCCACTTCCAGATATCCCTCTATGTGTTGTCTTCCCTTATTAGAATGTAAGCTCTTTGAGGGTAGGGGCTGTCTTCCTTCTTATATTTATATTCCTAGTGCTTGATTGATATAAGAATTTTAAAATATTTAAAAAAAATAAATTTGCTATAATTTACTATAATTTTTTCCTAATTGTGTAAATGCACTTTATATATAACTAATTACAAGAAGATATAATTTTGCTTCAAAATAAACATTTTCATCCTACTATCTTGAGCATATGCAAAGGCACCATGTTGGTTGATGCAGATTGGTCATCTATCTTGAATCTCTCTAATCCTATGCTTTCAGCTTCCAGACCTTGGCTTTCCACCTCTTCCATGAAGTCTCCCTCTATTACTTGGTGCTTTTTTCCCTTTCATAAACTCCTCCAACACTTGCAGTAGATGAGGCAGGCATACATTGGATAGAATGCTGGATTCACACTAAGGAAGACCTGGGATCAAATTTCCTGCCTATTAGAGAAAGTCACTTAACCTCCATGTGCCTCAAGTAATTCTTAGGACTTATGTAATTTCAGATCCTTATAGTGTAGTACTTTTAATCTTGCCATACAATTTAGTACTTTAATTACATGGTATTTTGTTCTACTCTCTAACCTACCATCCCTCCAACAAGATGGCAAGCTTCTTGAGGGAAAGACCAAGTCTAGTTTTGGTCTTCTCAGTAGCTCACAGAGTATTTGCCATCCACTAAGTGATCAAGGTGATGCTTGTTAAATTGTTGATGATTTCAGATGATCTTAATTCTGAAGCAACAAATTGGATTTTGCATTTAAAAATTAGGGGGGCTGAAATGTGATTATGACTTCTTGTTGTTGTTTTTGTTTTTATTTTTAGTTTCAAATTTTCTCTCTCCTTCCATCCCCTACTCCATCCATCAAGAAGGCAAGAAATAAGATATACATTATACGTATGAAGTTATGCAAAACATATTTCCACAGCCATGTTGTGAAAAAAGCAATAAACATAAAGAATGTGAAAAAAAATGTTTCAATCTGCACTCAGAGTTCATCAGTCCGTTCATCATGAGTCTTCTGGAATTATTGGGGATCACTGTATTGATCAGAGTAGCTAAGTCTTCCACAGCTAATTACTGTTAAAAACATGGCTGCTACTGTGTCCAATGCTTTCCTAGTTCTGCTCACTTCACTTTGCATCAGCTCATATAATACTTTCCAGGTTTTTTTGAAACCATCTCCTTCATTATTTCTTACAGCACAAATGTATATATTCCATTATAATCATATGCCACAACTTGTTTAGCCATTCCTCAATTGATGAAAAGGTGAATTCTACTCTTTAAAGTTTCTAGGTATTGCTGCATTTGAAGAAAAATCATTCTATGTAGAACCTGTTAATTCAAATCAATAAATAATAAAATGAAATAATATCTGTGAAGTGCTGAGCACAGTGTCCAGCACATAGTACGTGCTTAATAAATGTCATTTCCCTTCTGCCTTTCCACATTTATTGAGCATAGCTACTATGGTTAAGGTACAATGCTAGGTGTGATATGATGTGATGTGATGTGATGTGATGTGATGTGATGTGATGTGATGTGATGTGATGTGATGTGATGTGATGTGAGATGTGATGGGAAGTAATTAAAATAAGCTTAAACAATTATAACAATTGCTTATTTAAACCATAATATAATTAATTTTAATAATTAATTTAATTAGAAGGCAGAGCAAGAGGGAGGGAGAGGGAGAGAGAGAGAGAGAGAGAGAGAGAGAGAGAGAGAGAGAGAGAGAG